GGCACTCCACATGTTGTGGACTACATCTCCCCCGATGCTTTGCCAGGATTATGGCTGTAATAGTGTCATGGTAGATGTAGTCCACAACATCTGGAGTCCCGAAAGTTGCCTGCGCCTGCATAGTGTTCCTTTAATAGTGCATTACGCAGGAGTAGGCAACTTTCGGCACTCCACATGTTGTGGACTACATCTCCCCTGATACTTTGCCAGGATTATGGCTGTAATAGTGTTATGGTAGTTGTAGTCCACAACATCTGGAGTGCCAAAAGTTGCCTACTCCTGCATGGTGTTCTTTTAACCCCTTAAGGACACATGACATGTGTGACATGTCATGATTCCCTTTTATTCCAGAAGTTTGGTCCTTAAGGGGTTAATAGTTTCAGTTTAAAAATATAAAGGAGATTTTTTTTAAGTTCAAAACTGGCAATGTATTGTTGTGGTTTATTTATTTATTTATTTATTTTCAAATTATTGTGTAACAGTAGAGACTATTTAAATTAATGTGTTTAATTACCTGTTTGCTAAATGTTAATTGGCATTTTATTCCTCTATGTGTTTGACAGCCAAGGTCAGCGTGAGACAGCCTACAGACAACTAACTGTGACAATGTTATTCATTTACTTTTAGATTGTTGAGAATTCTAATGATTCCATCTCACCTTTCAAATATCAGGACAAATTGGTTGAACTTAAAGGAACACTATAGCGTTAGAATGATGGCCATGATGTGCCAATCAGATAGTCTCTGTGAGACAATAGCTAAGATTTACTTAGCTAATTTGTTGGCAGCACCTCTACTGGCTGACAGAGTGACAGCAAGAAGAGGCATTTAAACTCAATATTTTCACAGGTTTTAAAACTATACTAGGACATGACACCCAGGTCACTTCATTGACATAAAGCATTAACATAGGTGACCAGGAGAATATTTCAACTTTTGGCCTTAAATTTGAAATTAATTTAGAATTTCCAGAAATTCACAAGTTAGTGAATAGACTTGCAAACAAATGTACCTAACAGAGTTATTTACTAAGGTGAGAATTTCAAGTGAATTTTAGATTTAAGGTCAAAATAGCTAAACTAGAAATATTCTCTAACTAAGCTATGCTTTCAGCTCGACTACTCTGGCCTTAAAATTGAAATCATTTTGAATTCTCACATTTCCTTTCACCACATGTTATCCTATTTCACTGGAAGTTGTTAAATGTGGCATTGTAACAGAACAGTCAAGATCTGTCAACAAAGGCAAATCTTACCGTGGAATTGTTTGAGATTTCATATATAAATATCTGTACTGTATAAATTCTTAGCCTATGTATTTGCCTATGAAAAACCTGATCTACATCAGTTCACACTGAAGCAATTGTTTCCAGGGAACAGCAGGATAACCAATGGCCACAAGGGGGAGCATTTATATATTTTGCAGGAATGGTAATCATTGAAATGCAATAAAGCTGGATAAGGCATTAAGATGGTAATGTTCATTATAACCTATCAAATGTGTGGCTCTTAGTGAAGAAGAATAAATATAATGCACATTAGGCTCCCCCACCCGCCGCCGACTGACGTCAGCAAAGGAGGAGTGGAGGCGGCGCCTGACCCAGCGTCGAGAGACATCATCACTGGAATCAGGTATGTGACGAAAGTGTTTTTAACTTTTCAATGCTGTACGGGGTGGGCTTGAGGGAGGGGGCACTATAGGGTTCTATAGTGCTAGGAATACAACTTTATTCTATAGTTTCCCTTTAATGCACCAGTCTACTTTTCAAATGTACGATACATTACCAGTCCCAGGTTTGCATTCAGGACTTGAATGTTGTACCCTGTCAAATAGATTAAAATCGTCCTTTATTCAAAAAACAAAATTATATTTTGATAGACCATGCATTTGGGGGGAGAGGCTAACGTCCAGGGTACTACCTCAGAGCTCTTTTGGGGACACTAGGGAGTTGTCCCTGTAAGCGTAGTATAAACGCATCATTAGACGCGCTCGCATTACACTTAGAGCACTACAACCAAACAGAGAGATCTTGCAAGGTCCGCTCCTGGTGGGCTGGCCGGCTTCATCCGGGGGTTTCTGCACCAGTGACACGATTTACATGACTGGTTCACCATATTTTATGCTGTTCACTACCTACACAGGATGCCGATGTTTGGGGGTATGATAAAAGAAATAATGTGCATTGAGGATGAGTGTGACACTGAGCTTTACAGCAATAAATCTCCCAGTCTTAAAGTTGCTACTGAATAATTTCAGAAGTGCCTAAATTCCATAAAAAAAATAATAAATTCAGAGAATTTATGGCCACCTTTGGCTTTGAAAAAAAATACCATGGCTTGCTGGAAATGTAAGCTAACTAACAAAGCATAGCATAAAAATACACAACTACCACACTTAAACGGGGTCTTCAGGGTAAACAAAAATACTCCCTTTCCTCTTCCTTTAACTCATGTACAGTTGTAGTTATGTACTGCCTCCAGACAGATCAAATGGCCAATACAAAGCTTTTTAATTTTACAAGGTGTTCCTGACTGTGAGATGGAGGGAGAATATTTTGCAAAGAAATTGTGTCCAATATAAAAAACTATTTAAAACAATACCAAAGTATCTCATTGCCAAAGACTCATTTTAACATGTTTATTGCAGTTTCTAGACATATTAGTGTCAGTTTTAATGTTATGAATTTCTGTTATGTTAAAGTTGGATTGTGGCTCAAAATAGGAACTGTACCTCCTAAATAGGGACGCTTGGTAAGTATGCACACTGACATATGGGAAATTTAATAATAAATAATGCAAGTGATCCAAGAGCTAACAATTATAAATGGGGGAAAACCTATTGCTTTAAAAGGACACTCCACTGCCCAAATAAAACATTTTTACAAATCACTTTTTAGAAGATATTACCCAGGAAAATATGTATGCATTTAATTATGTATTTTCTCATTGGTATTATATTTAAAAATAGCTTGTAAAACTTGCAGATCTCTTGGCTGCAGCCTTTGCAAGCCCTCCCCATTTAGCCCCGCCCAGACTTTCTGTGGCTGTCCAATCACAGACTGCCCAATGCAGCTCAATGAGAAGTCTTTGCAAGGCAGGTGCTCTGGGCAATTGCTGCTTCTTGAGTTTAACTTACCTAACCAAACCATGAAGTAATAGGCCCTGTTATCTGATTGAAAGTCAAGGGGCAGTAACAAGGTTAATTTATAAAAGTGCCAATTTCTACTGAACTCACTCTTCACACATAAAGCACTTCAACAAGCTAAACAAAACGTGGTTCATGGGTTCGAATTTTCCTTGAAGATTGTTAATATCAACAATTTGTGAACAAAATCCCATCCCTTAAATATCGTTGTTGTCATATAGCGACATATAAATAGTTTGACCTAATAATAGCATACACAATTCAACAAAAGACTCAGTCTTGCCACCTATTTCTGTGGCTATCTGGAAGACAATAGATAAAGGCCTTATTTGTTAATTTATTGTAGGCCTCAATGTTTACAGCAGCTGAAAACCCTCTGTTTCCTGTACTTGCCTATGAAAGATTTTGACCTTTTGCTGCTGTAATGTGATTTGGTTGATAAAACGTAGATCTCTTTAATCAGGGTGTGTGGCTGGGAGGATTCTTTGTGTTGTGGTTTTGAGAACAACATGGTCCCATATTTTATCTATAAATGACCTCTGTCAGTCGTCTTATCTAGCAAAGACCCAGATATGTAAGATCAGTAAAGCAGGGATTCACAGCATAAGAGTGCAATAAAATATAATGCTGAACGTTTATCACACTCAGCAACAGATTAGCAAGTGATACCTAATATGAAGAATAACACAAACTTATCATAATTACTCACAAATGCAATGGAACGTTCCTTCTGTTGGTGGAAGGTTGAGACTAGAAAAGGAGCAATGGGATTTAACGTTGTGGCAGCACTCGGAGTATAGCCAGAAACGATGAACTGACAGACTTGCTACGTTTTGGAAAAAAATAAACTATTGGTTCCTGTATGTGCTGGAATGAGATGAACTCGTGGCCTCATTATTTGCTGGAAAGGGATTAGATGATGGCTTTATAATGTGCTAGAAAAAAAAAATGGCGACCCAAGTGTGCGATGAATGGGATGAACTGGTGGCCCCATGACGTACTGGAAAGAGGAAACTGGTGGCCTTATAATGTGCTGAAATGGGATGGACTGGTAACCTCATAATGTGCCAGAAAGAGGGAAACTGGTGGCTTTATAAACAGTTGGCTCTGTAACGTGCTTGAATGTGGTACACTGATGGTTCCATTGTATGTCATTTGGGATGAACTCCATCTTTTGTGGTGCCATATAATGCTGGAAAGAGATGAACTGGCAGCCATGTTGAATTATGTTCTGGAAAAAAGGCAAACTGAGGGAATCATTATATCCTCGACAAAGGCAGACAGTCTGCTTCTGTAATTGCTGGACATGCATGAAGTTGCTGGTCTCCATTAATTTGTGGCCCTGGTGGTCCTACATCAATATGTCCTGGAAAAAAAGGCAAACTGGTGGAACCATTATGTCCTCAAAAAAAGTGAACAGTCAGCTTCTGCAATTGCTGGACATGCATGAAGTTCTTGATCCCATTAACTCGTGGCCTTGGTGGTCCTACATCAGTATGTATACGTGATATGCATTCTGGAAAGCACAGTGTATCTACAAATATTTTTGCACTTCAAATTGTTCTCCTGGCGCATTAGAACAGCCATAATAAACACTGGAATTACATTTTTAAAAGAGAGTTACAAGTACATTTGGAAGATGACAACAGTGTGGAGGAGTCATTAGATATTTTATAAAAATACTTTCTTCGTTTAGAAAAAATAAATACTTTTCAACATAAAAAACTCACATTTGGTTGTGGCTGATAAGGCCACTCTTCTTTTAGCAAAATATTTTTTTTAAAAACCCTTCCATATGTTAATGTGCTCGCACGTTAAAAGAAGTTGTGTTGTGTTGATCTGTCAAGTCTGCAAGAGTTTTGATAAGCAAATAGTGCCAAAGCTTAGAGCTTCCCTATTGGCTAGGACAACTTCAGATTTTGACACAAGTAATCAGATTGAAAAATCAGGGCGGAGGGGGGAGACAGAGGCCAAAGGGAAAGTGTAGAGGACAGGTTTGTTAAACATCAGTGAATCAACAGCAGACAAAGAAGGAGAAAAGAGAAAGTGCCCAGTAATTGACTCCCAGTACATCTGGATTATTGAGGTATTGTACTGCAAATTACTACTAATGCAGAGTTCATCCGCTGCAGGTTGTAATAGGTTTTTATTTATTTTTTTAGAAAAAACATTGCTAATTAAAATTTAAAAAAATAATTATTAATGCTTAACATAAAACTAACAAAGCCAATAATTATACCTAGAAGTATATATACTTTCAATAGTGTTTATCTATTCTACTTTAATGGACTTCGTACAACATATAACATACTAGAATAATCTAATATTAATAAAATCTAAAGAAAAAAACATGTTTAAAAAAGCAGTTAACGTATTCGTTGTTTTTCACATAGTTTGCTTGTCTTTTTTTTTAGAATGTCTGTTATACTGTAGCTATTTTTTATTGTAATTTTTTTGTTAGTGACTTTTTAAGTAAGGACACTCTGGTGTAAAATTAGTATTTATTGCAGTAAAATAGTATACTTTGCAGGTAGTGATAACTTTTAGTGGACCAATTAGAGAGTCGTGCAATATCTTTTAACAATTGTCAATATCACATTAATATTTGTTTATTAGCTATTTTTATGAAAACTACAATTGCCTTACTATTTCATTTAATCAATGTTTACTTTATGTAAGTATATATTTACTAAGCAGTGACTTAAGAACTGGTTTGCAAAATCTAGATCAGAATAAATAAGTTGAAAAAAATGTAAAATTCAAGCTTTTAATTTATTTCTGCTATCGTTAATGATCACTGTGAAATGTATTTATGACAGAAAAATAGCCAAAAAACAAAGTGTTAAGTAAAGTGCTATATTCATTAAAACCATCTAGCACTTTGCACCTAAATATCTCCCATTTAGTCTTGGTACATGTTCCATATATGTTTAATGTATAGATAGGACGATACTGAGAAGTATAGGAAATATGAGAAATAATTGGTGTTTTTAAAATTATACATTCTTCTCTTCTTAAATTTCACGCATCTAGCTATAATGTAAATATACACATATATACAAACATCTCAAGACATATAGTTACATTGTAGTACAGTAAACCATATAAAACACTGTTCACTTAAGATTATTAAACTAAAAAAGATGCCTAGCAATTTTTTTAATTATAATGTTAATATATAAAAATATATATGGGCAATTTTGCCCAGATAAATAAAGATATCTGAAAAATAAAGTGCTTCTAAAGAGCAACATAGCTGCAGGGAATCCTTTTAATCTAAAAAGGTAGTTGATGTATTCACCCAGTCTTTAGATTGTAAGCTTCTAGATACAGGGCTTAAACCTAGGCAGACATGTCATAATGTCAGGATCTGAAAATTGGTGCACAATTGCAAAAATAGAGCAATCGCCACGGTAGCCACTTTACATTGTAGATACTCAACTTTTAGCACTTTGCACTAGTTTTCAGAACACTTTCATAAATCCCCCTAAAGTGTCACTTTACAACCGTCTGTCATGTTTGTTATAATTTTCTGTGTTTTGAAACTTGGTGGGGGTTGTATAATTTTTTTTCAATGTATTTTTTACCAAATCACCTATGTGCTGTTTATATCAATGCCATTGACTCTGCAAATGGCTATCACCCTTAATTTTGCTTGTAAGTCAAGGCTACAATTTAGAATAAAAAAAATATATATTTAAAGAAAAATAAAAGTAAATATTATAAAAGCTCTGAAAATATAGCTTCTTTTGTTATTCAGTGTATCCCTAACTGACTAAAAACAGAACTTATGATTACAGCACCATATGAGACATAAAGATAGCCAGGTCTGAAGGAGTTATTGACTAAACAGTGAATTTAAAGTGAATTGCATAATTTAGGCAGAAACTCAAGAGAGGAGTTGAAGATTTTTTCCAAATTAGCTTTTTTTGCCAAGATTTAGCAATTTACTTTTTACCTCACTATAATCTAAGTGAATTAACCCCTCCAGGAAATAGTACCTATACTGTTCATAGCGGAACTCGTAGACTGTAAGCATTTCTACTCATTCTTTTTTTTTTTTAAGCCGGTTTTTATTTTAAAAATCCATAGTTACATTTTTGAAAACTTGTAATAATGTTTATTATGTGTTAAATAACCATTTTTATTTCATATCAGGGTAGGTTATTCACTAAACCAGAAATTATTGCAAATTCTTCATAATATCTAAACTGTAAACAAATGTGCTATTCTGCAATGTTTCAGCTCGGTAGCATTGCAAATTTTAGCTTAAAATTGCTGTGTTGAAAAAAACACCCCCCAAAAAACTCTTCCAATTCAGCAGTTTTTTGTTTGTTTGTTTTTAAAACTCTGCTATTTCTGTCTAAATTTTGCTTGAGATTTACAACTCACAACGTCTCACCATTTAGTGAATACACTTCTGACTTTCTTGCATTCCAGATGTTGTGGACTACATCTCTCATAATGCTCTTACATTCATAATGCTGTAGAATCATCTTGGCAGATGTAGTCCACTGCATTAGTAGTGCCAAAGGTTACCTATCCCTGGCATAGATAATAATACATTTTTTTGAACACATAAATGAATGCTGATTTGTTAATGAAGAAGTGGTTTTCTGTTATGAATACCTAAATCTTTTAGTAGAATAGGCACGATAATAGCTTTTAAGGATTTAAAGAAAGTGTAAACATAGTGAGATAGACTCCTCTCAACTGTAAGCTCGATTGATCAGTGTCCTTACTAACCGATTGTTACTGTAACATTTTATAATATCGTAGAGCACTGCGGAATAGGTTGACGCTATGTAAATACCAAAAAATAATAAAATAATAATAATAAAAAACCTTACTCACTAGGCAGAAGGTTGAGAATAATTTGTGACATTTATGTTACTAAGTCAATAATAACTAAGCTTTGGTATGCAATATCTATCAGTTTAGACCTTATTTTTTTAACTCATTCTTTTTCATCATAAGGGACATTCCACTTCCTAAATAAAATTAAAAAAATAACTATTTAGTAAATACACACCCAATTATAACATGTACGCATATATTTATGCATTTTTTTTATAGGGGCATATGAGTTTAGCTCCACTGAGCTAAGCAACCAGGACTGGTAACAGGACTGACTGCCTGATTCACAGCCAGGAGGTGTAACAAGTCCAATTTCTATTCACACATAAAACACTTCCTGAAAGGATTAATAACATACATCACACCAATACACCAAAACAGACATTTTCTTATTTATTTTTTTATTTTTATTAGTATAGCCTTTGAATAATTATTGTTTTAATTATAACTTTTATATAGTTTGTTTTCTAATGCATCTCTATACAGTAATCTCCCCTTAAGGACACATGACGTGTGTGACATGTCATGATTCCCTTTTATTCCAGAAGTTTGGTCCTTAAGGGGTTAAATCTAACATAGAATATAAACAGATACAAACATTTACTAATGATTCAGATTTTCAATTATTTAACTCTAATAGGTTTATGTAAAACTTTCCCTAAATGATCTTCTCCAGATAAGATAACTATTAGCTGAGCTGTGCTTATTAAGTACATTGCTAAGCAAAATCAGATATCCTTTTAATGTATTTTCAGTTAATTTAATATTTAACCACTTCACTATATATATTTTTTAAATGGCATTACATTTATTTCAAACCTTTGTTCAATAACTAGCTAATCAAGGATACAAAAAATAAAATAAAAAAATTAGTTGTCCACCCTTTTCAGAAATAATTTGGGTGGTTGGTAAATCATTTTAGAATTATTTAATGTCCTTTATCTTGCAGTGCTGTATGTAATTATTATTATCATTATAATTGGTATTTATATAGCGCCAGCTTATTCCGCAGCGCTTTACAATAAGAGGGGGATTTACCAAATGAGACAATAACAAAATGTAACAGGAACAATAGGTAGCTGAGGACCCTGCTCAAACGAGCTTACAGTCTAGAGGAGGTGAGGTATAAAAACATAATAAGAAGGGTATTGAGAGAGACAGCAAATAGACATGGTGGAAAAGTAACAGAGCTGGAGGTGAGAGTGGAATGTGGCCCTTTAGAATAGAGAGCAAGAGGAAGGTTTGAGAGATAGAAGTTACTCTTGGAGGCCATAAGCATTCCTGAAAAGATGTGTTTCGAGGGACTTCTTAAAGGATTGAAGACTAGGGGAGAGTCTGACAGGGGTAGGCAGGCTGTTCCAAAGGAAAGGAGTCACCCATGAGAAGGTGCGAGCAACAGAAAGGAGAAGGTCGCCAGTAGGGCAGAAAGACCGAGAGGGGGCATACCTATGAATCAGTGAAGAAATGTAAGAGGGGCTAGAGTTGGCTAGAGCTTTATAGGTAAGGGTTAGTATTTTAAATTGACACCTATAAGGGACAAGAAGCCAGTGTAAGAATCGACAGAGGGATGAGGTGTGAGAGGAGCGACAGAAGAGAAAGATCAGCCTGGCAGCAGCATTCACCACAGATTGTAGGGGTGCAGTGCAGATTCTGGGGAGACCAATTAGAAGAGAATTACAGTAATCGATGCAAGAGATTACTAGAGCATGAACAAGCTCCTCAGCAGCATCTTGCGTAAGAGAGGGGCGTATGCTGGCAATGTTTTTAAGTTGTAATCGACAGGTTTTAGCAACCGACTGGATGTGAAGCTCAAAGGTGAGGCCAGGATCAAAAGTGACACCAGGACAGTGAGCTTGAAAGGATGGGGTGAGGCAGGTACCGTCGCCCTGCAGGGAGAGTGAAGGAAGGGGATCAGTGTGGGAGGAGGAAAAATAAGAAACTCAGTTTTAGAGAGATTGAGTTTCAGAAAGCAGGAGGACATCCAATCAGAAGTTAAGGGAGGAGAGATATATCTGGGTGTCGTCAGCAAACAGGTGGTAGTGGAATCCAAATGAATTAATGAGTTTGGCAAGAGAGGCATTATAGAGAGAGAACAAAAGGGGACCAAGAGATTGAAGAGTTTGGAGAAGGAGGACATGATCAACAGTGTCAAAGGCAGCAGAGAGGGAGGTCAAGAATGTACAGTTTAAAAACTATGTTACTTGTCAGCAGCAATCTGATGGCATTTAAAGGAGCACTATAGGGTCAGGAACACAAACATGTATTCCTGACCCTATAGGGTTAAAACCACCATCTAGCCACCCTGAGCCCCTCATGCCTCCCTAAAAATAGTAAAATCTTAGTTGTATTCAAGTCTGGAGCTGCTTGCTTTGTCACTGTTTCCTTTAGACCTGCCCACTGCCTGCTGTCATCAGCAGAAGTGGTAGCCTGATCCAATCACAATGCTTCCCCCCATATGATTGGCTGAGACTGACAAGGAGGCAGATCAGGATCAGATCTCTTTGAGGAAAGTTCAGTGTCTGCATGCAGAGGGAGGAGATACTGAGCGTTTGGGTGCATTTTAGGCAGCCATGACCCAGGAATGATCTCTAATAGCCATCTGAGGAGTGGCCAGTGAAGTTATCACTAGGCTGTAATGTAAACACTGCATTTTCTCTGAAAAGACAGTGTTTACAGCAAAAAGCCTGAAGGTAATGATTCCACTCACCAGAACAAATTCAATAAGCTGTAGTTGTTCTGGTAACTATAGTGTCTCTTCAAGTGAAACCTGCAGAAAAGAATATAATGCACATACACAGTTATAATGCCCACACAGTGTAAATAAAGCTTTACTAATTATCGTTACTATAGAGATCATTGCACCCGCACAGAAACCATTTAGTGTACTAATCCTCCTATCCTTACATTATTTGTTTGTGCAACATATTTTACTGTAAAGTGTGTGTGTGTGTGAGGGGCGATCTATGAAAGACACTATGGAGAGTGATATATTAGAGCAGTGGTGCCCAAAATGTAAATCCTCAGATTTTGTAGAACTACACCTCCCATGATGCTCTGCTATGTTTAGAATGGCAAAGGATCATTGCAGATGAAGTTCTCAAACTGGAGATCTATGCATTAGAAAAATGACAAATAAAGGGAAGGGGTTAATCCTATTACATTGTTGCTTTATCAAAATTTTAATTTGACACAATTTTAAAAATACAGCACAGCCTCTCATCCTTCTTCCATACATGAAAATAAATAAATATGTGTGTACATTATATATAATGATCAGCCACAACATTAAAACCACTGACTATATCATTGGCACCTGTCAAGAGGTGGGAGATATTAGGCAGCTAGTGAACAGTCAGTTCTTGAATTTCATGTGTTGAAAGCAGGAAAATGGACAAGTGAAAAGATCTGAGTGACTCTGAAAAGGGCCAAATAGTGATGACTAGACGACTGGGTCAGAGCACCTCCAAAATGGTAAATGTTGTATGATGTTCCCGGTATGCATTGGTTAGTACCTACCAAAAGTGGTGCAAGGAAGGACAACCAGTGAACCGGCGTCAGAGTCATGGGTGCCCAGGGTTCATTGATGCACATGTGGAGCAAAGGCTAGCCTTTCTGGTCCGATCACACAGAAAAGCTACTGTAGCTCAAATTGCTGAAAAACATATTTCTGGCCATGATAGAAAGGAATCAGAGCAAACAGTGCTTCGCTGTTTGGTGCGTAGCAGCAGACTGGTCACGGTGCCCCTGTCCACCCTTCAAAGCACCTTCAATGGGGACTTGAACATCAGAACTAGACCATGGATCAAAGGAAAAAGGTTGTCTGGTCTGATGAATCATGTTTTCTTTTAGATTGGATGGCTGGGTACCTGTATGTAGTTTACCTGGGGAAGAGATTGCAGCAGGGTGCACTATGGGAAGAAGGCAGGCCTTCAGAGGCAGTGTTGTACTCTGGGTAATATTCTGCTGGGAAACCTTGAGTCCAGGCATTCATGTGGATGCTACTTTAACATGTATCACCTACTTAGAGGTTGTTGCAGCCCATGTATGCCCTTTCATGGCAATGGTGTTCCCTAATGACATGGGTCTTTTTCATCAGGATAATGCACCCAACCACACTGCAAAAATTGTTCAGGAATGGTTTGAGGGAGATAATAAAGAGTTTAAGGTGCTGCATTAGCCTCCAAATTCCCCAGATCTCAATTCGATTGAGGATCTATGGGATGTGCTGGAACAACAAATCTGATCCATGAAGGCCCCACCTCACAACTTGCAGGACTTAAAGGATCTGCTGCTAGTGCATTGGTGCCAGATTGTGGAATCCATGCCTGATGCATCAGAACTGTTTTGGCAGCACCTATACAATATTAGTCAGGTGGTTTAATGTTGTGGCTCATCAGTATATATATTTATATCAATCCCCTTTCCACCAGTGAGGGGAAATGGAGACACTAGGCTTCCTGTTCTCCTATAAGAGTAAATCAGTTAAAAAAACCTCCCAGTGTTCTGTCACTGACTGACATACATTATATGCTATTATAAATTGGAATTATGAATGGGATAGTGGGTCTTGGTTTCCTAAACAACCTGTAATTGTGTATTCCAGTCCAACAATATGCCTTTACAGTTGGCAATACTTAAACAGGTCTACATAAGCAAACAGCAGTCATGTTATCATTGAGAGCTGTCTCAAGCATGACCACCAGGAGAGCATTATGGTGAAGTCCAGGTATTCAATTCCAGCCTATTGTACTATCAGCTGGAACCTACCTAAGTGACACCATTTACGTCATGGGCATGAGTTCTAGTAGTGTCCATTATAGTTCCATTAATATGATGCTCATACATTACTGTCAATTTATTGTCATTTATTCAAAATCATGTTAAAAGACTTGTGTATGAAGCCCATTAAGTCATGTGTTTGAATCAACACTGACTGGTGCCCAGATGGTAAGCCACCATATGTCTGCCAATCAATTTCCAAAGCCTTACATAGAAAATACATGAAAGTGACCAGATTTAATTTTCTAAAAGTATTTTTTACAGAAAAAAAACAAAACCTTTTTGGGGATTTGTTGAAGGTCCCCAGAACTACTGGATACATAAAATCGGATTGGTAGATATGTATTTCTCTTGTATTAAAACCAGAATCACATTACCCCATGTAAAAATAGTGTTTAAAGTATACACTGTGAATGATTTTACTGCATGATTCTATCTCTTTAACACTGGACAGTGCCTGGCTCTGACAATTCTAAATCATTGCAGATTAAATGCAAATTTCATACAAATTACGTGCCATCTGAGTCACATTTTGATGCCAACTCTGGATTCATTTTCTGCCCGGTGTGATCAGATTATACAGACAGCAGTTACTTAATGACACATAGCAAACACTGACACATCCCTATGCCAGAGGTCCATTCACTCATTTCTCACTAGCCCCATGACAGCGTTTATTTTAGACTTTGTTTGCTCTGCCCCTGGCAAAGGAGAGTTATTGACTGAATGCAAAATAGCTAAAACGGGCTTGTCAGTGTAAAATTATAGATTGTGCCCCTATTGATTCCATCCATCCACACATCCATCTATCTGTCTGTTAGCTATTTATCTCTCAAATTCTCCCACTTCTACAAACAGCTGGGTTCCCATCATCACTACCTTTATCCAAGTCGCTCTTTACTTGGCTTATCTCAAACGACCACAAAAGTCACCCAGACCACTTCATCACAATGAAATGGTCTGGGAGCAGGGGTCCTGTCATTTAAACCCTGCAATGTAAAACATTACAGTTTTGTAGACAGCCACTAGAGGCACTTCCTCCTCTAGAACTGAGTGAAACTTGCTCCTGAAATCATATGTTGCAGATAGCAGCATTTGATTGGAGAAGCGGTGTTTGACTGCACATGCCTAGTTCCAATCCATTGCTTCTCTATGAAAAGCAGTGTATTGGAGGATATCATTGGTGATGTCAGCTTGGATGATGACATCACTGAAGGGGGAGCTGGAGGCCGCAGCGGAGGATTCCTGACACTGGAATTGTTTAACTTAAATAGGATAGGGGGGTGGACAGTACTGAAAAAGCTATAAGTAAGCCTATAGTCCCAAAATAACGGTTTTCCAAAGGTATACACGTTTAGATTTTTCCCTGTATTAATATATGTCATAGAGTCACAGGGCACGGATGTTATTATTACACAGCTCATCATAACTCATTTTATCAACAACAAAATCATGAAACATTGTGTTGACCCTGCTGGGAATAAAACCTGAGACTCAGAGGTTTAAATGAATACTACAATTGCGGCAGTAACAGATGTCTCAATAGAAATTGACAGCTTCCTCATGTTTTCACCAAAATAATTCCTTGGTCTCACCGCAGAGTAATTCATTATTCACTTACTTGAAAATCGTCAGAAATTCAAAATGATTTTCAAGTACAGCTCCTCCTTGAAACCCCTAATTGAAGTTAATGGGCCCTCTCCCAAGCCAAGCGAGGCTAGACAAAATGAACTTAACGAGAACCTGTACCCAACATGACTTAAGCAAGCTCAATTATTAACAAGTTTATTTATAGTTTGAATTAAAGACTTAGTGAACCACTTATTTTATAAGGATGGGTTAATGACTGGACCAGTTTGTAAATTTTACGTGTTTATGTCTATGTGTCCTAGGAGATGCCCCGCTCGTTCCTGGTGAAGAGTAAGAAGACTCACACGTACCAGCAGCACCGCTACGTCGAGGACAAATGTTCCGTGGATGATCTTGTTACAAGTTTATGCCATGGTAAGAAGTGTTCCATTTTGTTAATATTTTAGGACTTAAGTCCTAAGTGGACATGTGATCTGTTTACAATAATTCCCTTTTTTAACTTCAACAAAAGGTCTTCAGGCTGAAGAATATATATATATATATATTCTTTATTTTTGCTCAGGTCTCGTATAAAACAATAGAGAGCACCAAATATCATAAGCAAGCACGATGAGAAAAAATTAAAACAGGTGCAAAACTGTTGGCACATGGAGGCAGACACGTGAGTTGAATTTTTTTGTAGAATACATAAAGGAACATAAGACAAAGAAGTCTTCAATATAATAACATTAATTGTAAATAAACAACAAAATGAGGACCTATGCTGTGATCCTAGCGTGCCATGGGCTGACCTATCTAGGATAGTAAAAAATTACGGAAAGACAGGCACAGAGTAGGAGTATTGGTGAGATAGCAGAACAGGTGTTATATAAAAAAACCTATGGAGCCAGAGAGAACAGGACAAGATACGTGCGCATCAAAAAACAGAACCAAAATGCAATGTAAAATAAAACAAGGCAGAGTCCTCATGGTCTCAAGCAGGAAGATCTGCCTTCCCTATTAAGACTAGACCTGGAACAAATGGAATAATTGAGCCACCGAAGCACGCTTTGCGACCCTCTGGTGTAAGAGATTCTGTCTGTAGATCTAATGCTTGAAGAAAAGGCGGTGTGTCCTGGGGATTAGAAAGAGGGTACATCTTGCCATCCTTCTCTGCTTATAAGCAATGCAGGTCCCATTGATATGGGATTTTAGCTTCACGAAGTAGCTTATAATGTTGCAAAATAACTGCCTCCAAAGCACGGTAGGTGTTGAAAGATCCCTATAGAGCGATAACTGGGAGCCCTCAAAGGTCGAAGTGAGAAATGCTCTTGTTGCCCTTATATAACAGATCTATCAGAATCTCTCTAAAACTGTACTAGAACATCCCTGGAAACCTCCAAGTGGGTCTTTGCGGCCTTAGGCAGACAAAAACAGCGATCATTAGCGTTTTTTTTTGGTTTGTTTAGGGGACAGCAACATAGATATTAATCACTGGATATAGTGAGGTAGCTCCTCAGGGGAAACAGCCTATGGTTCTCCTCTGATCAGGACATTGTGGGCATTTGCCCTATCATCAAGGTTTGCCAACCTTATGCTTAAGTCGTCACATCTTTTCTGTAGGGTATTCATTGCAGCATCTGTAGTGGACTGAGCCACTCATGTGTCCCCTAGGTTTTTTCCAGACACACTCAATAACAGACACACACAAACTAACACACACAGTAACACCCACATAAAAACTAATACACTCACTGACACTCACAAGCAGACACACACAGTAACACACACACTGACACACAAAAACTAACACTAGCACACACACTCTAACACTAACACACACACACTCTAACACTAACACACACACTCTAACACTAACACACACACATGTTTCTTTAAAATTTTATCCCCCAGCCTCCTTACCTTTGGGAGAACTAAGGGAATTTCCTGGGGTCCAGTTGTGCTGCTGGGCGGCCAGTCACCGGGCGGGCGGGCTGGCTGGTGCACGCGCGAGGGAGCACTCTCCCCAGAGCGCTCTCTGCCCAGCTCCCTTGCGGCGCCGCGCACTGATGCCAGAGCCGGAATGACGTCATATTCCGGCTCCGGCATCACTGCGGTGCGTGAGTGCTCCCTCGAGCTGCCCGCCAGCCAGCCTGCCAGGCGACACCAGGGCCAGCCTCGGGGGGCCCTGAGGTGGCCAACTCCTGGGCCCCCCAGGAGAAGAGGCTGGCCACACTGGCGTACATGCCGGGTCGCAGGGTGGCCGGGCCCCCTGGTGGTGGGGGGCTCTGAAGGAAATAATGTCATTAAAAGTTATGTTGTAGAAATGCAAATGTTTGTGGTTAAAATGGTGTGGCTAAAGCATCTGCACGGGCCACCCCAGAGTCTTAAAGCATTCCTATGTAGGCAGGGTCATTTTGTATGAATGGAGACCTACATTGCAACGTCATTAGCTGAACTAATTTGTAGGGTCACCTGTGTACAAGCAGGGACACCTGTGTAGAAGCAGGGGGACCTTCAGAACTCCTAGTATCAGGTGTCTGAGAACTGAGGTTGAGAAACACTGCTTCGAGGTGTGGCTTTGGAATATTTACTGCTCGTGAAATGTCAACAGTTATTCTCAGCCCTTCAGGCTCATTCAAATGAGGTTTATTCAAATATCATTGTGTGCTCATTTTCTGCTTAATCCCTAAGCACGATAACTGTTTTCCTGGAACCGACCTCTATATTAACATCAAGTTTAACCATAAAACAGGAAGATTCCCAAAGCTGTTCAGAAAACTAATCCAAGTTCATTAGTTATTTGTTAAAGGGGTAGACAGGGTGCCAAAAAGTATGAAGCCTGCCAGAACTGTGTAAATCAGGGCTGCTCATCCAGAGTCCTTCAGTTATTGATTGATTGCAAATGAGCGGAGCCCGGTGGATCCAAGTCAAAGTCAAACTGTTCTAAAATGGTTTGACTGCTTACAATATGGAGAGTTATTTTAAGCATCTTGTAGGTTCTAGGATTGTTCCTGAATTTTAATGTTATCCTCTCTGAGAGGAAGAGTAAGTTATACCCTTTGCAATTCCACAATGAACTTTGTTAATACTGTTTATATGCCTTTTCTAACAATTTTGCAAGACAATGTGTAGACCAAACATCATTCTTTATCTACGACACTTTTCTGTGAGTGTCAGGGTGACAGGGATATTCAGTATTCTGTACAGAATTCCTAGGAAGGCATAGTCCTTAAAATCCAGGATAGGGTGTGTTATATTTCTAAGTCACATTAGTGTGAAGATGATGTATCTATGTTCAAGGAAATGTTTTTTCAGCTCAATCAAAGCCGGATTTGAGACACAATAAGTTGGCTCTGCGTCCATACAAACACTGTGGTTTCTCAAACACAATGTGTCAATAACTCTCTATTTGTAACATTGGTTTTGGCAAATAATTGACTTTGGTAATGTGAAATCACGTCAATATTAAAATGAAAATAAAGACTAGTTAATGTCTTGAGAGACAAATTTTAAAAGCAACAACCTGGATGCAAAATCCAGGGAGATGTTATTCACCATTAGTTATACAGGACCTTGATGAAAAGTACATTAGTCCCTAAAACAAACTGATCAACTGATCGTGACACATCTTATTATTTGTTTTTGAGATGGTTCCTAACTTCATGTAACTCCATCAAACATCTGCTCATTGCAACGAAGGTTGTTGGAGATTTTCACATGCTGTAGACACCGCTTTTTACAAGTTTCACTTTAACACATTTAAATATCATGGATACAAAATTGAGATTTGATAAATTGACAATTGATAAAAATACAAAATCTGAGGTTAATTAGCTGCCCGCAATGTTCTTTTACATCACCAAAATTTAAATATAAAAAATCTATATTCATTAATTTATTTAATAAGGCTAAATCCCATAAACAAACATTAATGAAAAGTAGGGTGTAGCGGACCACGGGTAACCCGACTGGTTACCTCCGCTGATGCCTTCTCTCTGGAACCAATCTGGAACCATTAAAACAATTTGACATCCATTCCCCCAGTACCCAGATGAAAAAAAATCTAATCAAAATATACAGTACTCCAAAAGTACCCTCACCATAACTAGGAACCCCACAAAAGTTATATCTCCCGATAGCCCTGATCTGAGTGTATGACATATTTAAATATCACTCAGATCAGTTTGGTGAAACTGGAATTCCACCGGGGCAAAGTCTCTGTTCCAAGGTTCCGCTGCGAACATCACGCAAGGGATTCTCTCAATTTCAGGGTACGAATGCTCCCCCTGTTCGATAGTTCTCTTTCCCCAAACGTTGTTCACATAGTTGGTCGGGAAGTAGAACGGGCAGCACTCTAATCTTTACCAGGGTTCGTGAGTGTTCCAGGTACTCAATGACCAAGTGCCGCTGCCCATGTTCGTGAGACAAAATGGACACCACTCCTTTGTCGACCATGTGCATTCGGTTATCTGAAATGGCGGCCACCCAGGGGAAGTATTCATAAATTACTTCCCTTGCGGTTTTGTACTTAAGTTGCTGGTGTGAACGTTCTAATGGCGTACAGGGGTGGTTCTCGCTCGGGAGACGAATAGCGGGTGTTCGTATACCATAATTCCGTACGGAAAAAGGCAAAATTGTGGAAACTGAGCAAAACAGATGAAATTAGCAGTAGGTTCCATGAAGAACAGAAGATACAGAAACCCTATGGGAGAATTAATCTAAAGCACAGAAAATGTATTTATTAATTCCTATACAGCTGGAGTGTCCAGATAAGAAGATATTTATTCATAAATACAAAAAGAATAATAAATTAGGACATTTCTTTATTTATATGTTTCATTATATTTATTGTATAATAATTTTGTCTATTTTCTATTGTGAGTTAATGATATGCTTTTATAGTTCTACTAATTTAAGATGTCTCCTTACTGCCACTATAAAAACATTATCTTCTCGAAGCGTGGAACATATGGGACGAACAAAAGCACAAATATACGAACCCGACAGATAATCAAAATATACAAAATAACATCACGATTAGCTAGACACTCCCCTGAAAGGAGGCAACACACTCAGACAACACGCTCACAAGGAATCAAGTGACAAAACCATACACACACACATCCATGATAGCAACTGACATACCCGCAGCGCAATCCTACACCCTACTCTCACATATCCAACCCTCTCCCCCCCCACCTACCACAACCTACTCAGACCACAGCCACCCCACATCCACCACATCCGCCACTGCCGCACCTACAGAGACAGCACTCACAGAAGAATTCCAAAGACCAAAAGTACCAAGTCTAAACCACTACTACCGAATAGCTAAACACACAACTGCGGACCTACACAGTCTTAAATGTGAGATACCCAATGCAAGGCAACTGAAAGTATTGTATAATCCTGCGATGTACTGTGGAACTTATAATGTATTGTAAAGTATTGTACCAGGCAAAAATATTTCCCCCTCCCTCCTCCCCCTCTTCTCTTCTGTACCCCTTCCTCCGCCCCCCTTTGGAAAAGAATAAAAATTGTCAAATTCAAAAAATAATAACATTATCTTCATGTTTTTCATTATATATTATTTTTAATGATGAACTTCATCTTATTTAATAATGTGATCTTGTATAAAAGTGAGCTTTACAATAATGCTAAATGATAATGATAAATAACGTTAACAAAAATAAAGGCTGTATTCTCTACCTTTCTCTAACGAAGTATATTCCAGTGATACAACATGTTCTATTCTTTTCTCAGCTCCGTGTTCTGAGCCTCCGGCAGAAATTTATCCATTCTGCTCTACACTTGAAGAACATATACCAGAAAACTTACTTAAGCATGAGCCATGTGTTGATCAAAATAAAGAAAAAGACAAAGTCATGTTCTTGAGCAGAATGCACTCCACACCTTCAGTTGAAGGTACATCAATGAAAGCACCCAATCTTTAGATTAAAGTAAGAGAACGAATCCACCTCACATGATGTCCCAAAGTTCTAATTGTATTGTTGCTCTTTCTTCTCCTCTCCAGGTATTACCCTGTCTCCTATCCCAATAAAAGCCTACAACACACCAGCTCATCTATCCGCCTTCTACAAACAACATTTTTCATGGAACAACTTGCATTCTGCTTATGGTTTTAAACACATGCCATCCCATTTGCACACATCCCTCTTGCAGCACTCAATAAGCATGTATAGCAGTCCCCCCACACCTGATGCAGAATCCGAACACCCCATCAATTATAGCCTTGGGTACTCACCAACCATGGACACCTACCACTGTGTCAAGTGTAACAAGGTAAGATTTTCAGGATGGTCATAAGGTTCCAACTATACTATACTGGAAATCTGTGATTGGGATCAGTTCATAGGAACATACATGGTTTAATTAAAAAAACAAATCTCACTACAATTGGTCATGTAACTACAGTCAACCGTTTGTTCCGTTAGTGAATGTATTAGTTTATGGCAAATTAGCAAAGAATGTCCCAAAACTGTGGACTTGCCTTGGGAGGTGCTATTGGAAGCAAATGTCACTGTTCTAAATGTTAGCTTCCTACAGCTTTATTTTTGTTTTATGCATAGTTTTATTAATATTAACTTTGTTGTAACTTTATTAAATTGGTTGGAAGTCATTTGATTTTTGTTTGCAACCAAAAGAATAAAACGTAGAGTCTTAGACAATCAACTACAGAGATAGAGTGTAGATCCCCTAACATAAGTACATATTTTCCTCTTGCAGGTCTTCTCCACATCCCATGGGCTAGAGGTCCATGTTCGGAGATCTCACAGTGGCACTCGCCCATTTGTCTGTGACATTTGTGGGAAATCCTTCGGACATGCTGTCAGTCTTGAGCAACATCAGAACGTCCACTCACAGGTGAGAAATTACACTTGTTAAGTCTTAATAGAATCATATAATGATGCAAGCATCATGCCATTGTTCTTTCATAAAATATTGCTCTAATATTTGTGAAAATAATAATATTGATAATAAGAGGAGGAAGAACAAGTAAAAAGAAGTAAAACATTCTTGAAATGGTAGGGACCAGAAAAGTACACCTCTCTACAGGGTATGCCAAAAATCTGCATAGTGGGCTTATGCTGGCTTCAATTAGGACACGAAGGAAAAGGCTATAAAATGATGATGGGGAAAGAATGTGAAATTGTGTGTAATAAACTAAGGGGTATATAAAATGGGGAAGAATTTGGCATTAAGATGACAATGCAGGGATATTGAATGAAATTTGAATTTCAAGGGAGATTATTTCAAATACGGAGCAATATTACATTTAATTAAAGGGGAATAAATTGTGAATGATTGAGGACTATATGAATTCAGAATGAAAGGAGGTTTCAATGGGTATGGTGGATATAAAATGACTTCCCTGTAATAAATCCTCTCTTTACACTGACAGGAGCGCAGTTTTGAGTGTAAGATGTGTGGGAAAACATTTAAACGTTCTTCTACGCTATCCACCCATCTCCTCATCCATTCAGACACCAGGCCCTACCCTTGCCAGTTCTGTGGCAAACGTTTTCACCAGAAGTCGGACATGAAGAAGCATACCTACATTCACACAGGTGAGAGAATAGTGTAGTATATTTCTCAGTTCATTTATGTAGGCAATAAATCCCATTTCAATCACTGGGATCAGTGTGCAAAAAAAGCTGCAAGCAGTTTAGGTACATGCTTTCTTATCCCAGTACTGTAGGTTAATTTAAAGGCACATTCTAAGGACTAAAACCACTGCATGTTAATTTAGTGGTTTTGGAGTGTAGACTGTGGTGTTTTTCTCAGACAATTCAAAACATTGCCCTTTCTGGGAAATGTCAATGTTTACAGCAATAGATTTTGCGCTTCTTTATGAGAAACATTGGATTGGCAGAATGCGTTGATGGCTCTGGATCTTCAATGCTTCTCTATGAGAACTATTGTATTGGACCTAGATCCTTCATAATGATCTCCCTCAGAAGATGGTGCAGCTGCTATGGGATGATTGTCTTGGCTCTGGATTACAGATCAGCTTGATGAGTTTTTTGTTATTTTATTTTTCATTTTAAAACTGGGGAAGGGACACCCTAATCTACAGCAAGGAACACCCTAAGATTAAAAATAAATATATTTTCTTAATATTAGAGTGTTCCTCTAAAGCCTGGTTTCTCAACCTGTGGTATGCGCACCAAAAGTAGATGGAGCAAGGGCTGGTGGAACCATAAGGCGGCACAGGTGGCTGCCTTAGAGCACACTGGCCCATGGGGCTCAAGATCCGGGTGAGGGAAGTGCACAGCACAGCTCTCCTCCTCATGGTCACACCTCCACTCAGACTCCTAATATGAAAGTGTCCCGTTGTCCATTTGAAATGTTGGGAGGTATGGTCCACTTGGCTGCGCTACAAGGAGGGAGGTTAGCAGGCACAAGAGGAGGGAAGAGACCACAAAGGGACCAGGGGAGGGGCGATACACAAACAAAATGTGCTGGGGGGAGACAGAGACAAGCAGAGGGGAAGGGGAGAAAGGGACACACAGAGGGCTGGGGGAGGAAAGAGACACAGAGAGGGGAAGAGGAGTAAGAGACACACAGAGGGGAAAAGGAAAAAGAAACACACAGAGAGGCTGGAGGGAGGAAAAAGACACAACGGAGCAGAGAGGAGAGACACACAGAGAGATACAGAGGAGCTGGAGAAGGAGAGAAGTAGACACAGAGTAACTGATGAAGTGAAAAAAAAGACACACAAAGAAGCTGTGTGTGAGAGACACACATAGTGTCTAGGGATGAGGGAAAAACACACAGAAGTCTGGGGGAGGGGGAGACACATAGAGGAGCTGGTGGAGTAAAACACACATAAAGAGGCTGAGGCAAATAAGAGACACACAAAGGGTCCGGGAGAAGAAAGAGACACACAAAGGGGCTTTGGGAAGTAAGAGGCACACAAAGGGGCTGAGGAGACATAAGAGGCACACAAAGGGACTGAGGGTAGTAAGAGACACACAAAGTGGGAATTAAGATATATACAAGGTGGTGTAAGACACACAGAGGGGAAAAAGGGGCATAAGATAAACTAAAGGAAGGGAGTAAGTAATTTAAAGGAGGGCATAACAAGTTTTAAACGCGAAGGCATACAAAGTACCCAAGAAATTGAAGATTTTTTCTTTTTTAGGGTTCTGTTTTCTGATTTAGTCTACTATATTTGCCCCAAAGCTATATGTTTGTTTCAATTCCCTCTGTGTATAAATGAGTATGTGTGTCAGTGTCCTCTGTGTGTAAGCATGTGTGTCAGTTTCCTCTGGGTCAGTGTCTACAAATTTCATTTGGAATTTAAATCAATAGAAATTACTTTCTCGAGGCAGGGAATTTTTTTTTAGATCTGCAGGCATTCTTCTCCGCAAAAGGTTGAGAAATACTGCTGTAAAGAACACGTACATGGGGAAGCAAATTCAGAGTCCTGGATTCTTAAAGGAACACTATAGTCACCTAAATTACTTTAGCTAAATAAAGCAGTTTTAGTGTATAGATCATTCCCCTGCAATTTCACTGCTCAATTCACTGTCATTTAGGAGTTAAATCACTTTGTATCTGTTTATGCAGCCCAAGCCATACCTCCCCGGCTATGATTGACAGAGCCTGCATTAAAAAAAAACTGGTTTCACTTTCAAACAGATGTAATTTACCCTAAATAATTGTATCTCAATCTCTAAATTGAACTTTAATCACATACAGGAGGCTCTTGCAGGGTCTAGCAAGCTATTAACATAGCAGGGGATAAGAAAATCTTAATTAAACAGAACTTGCAATAAAGAAAGCCTAAATAGGGCTCTCTTTACAGGAAGTGTTTATGGAAGGCTGTGCAAGTCACATGCAGGGAGGTGTGACTAGGGTTCATAAACAAAGGGATTTAACTCCTAAATGGCAGAGGATTGAGCAGTGAGGCTGCAGTGGCATGTTCTATACACCAAAACTGCTTCATTAAGCTAAAGTTGTTCAGGTGACTATAGTGTCCCTTTAATATGGATCTGCTTGTGTCTTATATCTGTTTTTGACCTCCTTAAAACTTATTTTTAAAAATCCTCTAGAATTATAACATTCAAATTTCTCTCTGGGGCTGACTTACTCAACAGAAAAACTGCTTTCAACATCCATTCTCCCATTGCTTGAGCTGCCAAATTTAGTAGTTTCCCATGCATTTGGTGCCACAGATTAATGCGGGGCGCAGGCCGAGGGGGGCGCAAAATCAATTGTAAAGTTGAGCAGTGATTTTTGCGCCCCTTGCTCAGCCGGCGCGTCCAGGCAGTGTGCGGCTCCATTAAGGAATCGCACGAAAAGTGCCCGAGGGGAAGCGCCTCCCCCTCGCGGTCTGCGTAGGACTACCCGGCGCTCAGCATGACTGAGACACAGGCAAAACGTCAGTGATGGAGGCTAGAGAGGAGAGCCTTCCACTGGACCGCCGGCTCTGTGAGTGCTGCGTGGGACGAGGATTTCATAGGTAGGTAGGTAGATTTCAACAAGGAGGGAAGGGAGATATTGAGGAAGGGTGGAGGTTGGCAAGGGGGGAGATATTTAGGAAGGGGGAGGTTGGCATGGAGGGAGATATGGATGGACGGGGGGAAATATTGAGAAAGGGGATAGGGTGGTATAGAGGTAGATGAGGATAGGAGAAGGGAGGTTGGCAAGGGGGGAGAGAAATGTATAGGAGGGGGGATGTTGCCAAGGAGGAGAGATATGGATAAGAGGGAGAGGTTGGCAAAGGGGGGAGAGATATGGATGAAAGGGGGGAGGTTGGCAAGGGGGGGAGAGAAATTGATGATAGGTTGACACCCAACTACATCACATGCAGTCCCCACAATACTCAGACAGCTTGAGTTCATCTGTCACAACCAAAGTATTTGTTAACTATATAAAAAAAAAAAATGTAGTGACAACAGTAAAGACTCCTGTTTGTAATAGGGTGCAAGGCCGGACTACCCTGGGGCTGCTGTGGGATGTGGCCTTTAAGAATTTGGCAGTGGCGGGATTCAGATGTGGCCATAAGTGTGTGAGAGAGTACTCTCACGGCCAATGTGATGTCACCTTTGTTGTCGACGGAAATCTCATATCCGGCATCTTTTTCCTTTTGCATGGAGACTGTTAGAAGTCCTCGGGAGTGCGATCTAAATGCCATGTTTTTTTTGTTTCATCCCCAGTCCGGCACTGATATGGTGTGAGGTCCCAGTGTTATACTTGTAAAAAGCTGTGATTTATCAGTGTTGTATTTGCAATAATGTGAAATGGCCTGTGTTGTGCTTGTCATAAGGTGTGATGTGCCTGTACAATGTTTGCATTATGGTGACAAGCATTCCTCTGGCACATCACCATCATCACACAAGTCTAAATTTGTGTGTGTTAAATATATTTTTGATTTGAGGTTGATAACACAGATTATTACTGGCATTACAGGTGACCCTCGTTTTACCACCTACCTGCTTTACAACGGCTCGCAGTTACGACCAGCTCTCGTGAGGTGGTAAGTGCGAGCCATCGTGGGAATTAGAGGGATTCCCTGCTCTGCTGCATTCTTCTATGTTTGGGGATATTTCCCCGAACATAGATGAACGCAACAGAGCACGCGAATCCCTCTAATCTATGTTTGAGGAAATTTCCCTGAGCATAGATTAGAGGGATCCATGCTCTTGTGCATTCATCTATGTTCGGGGAAATGTCCCTGAACACAGACATGCGCACCAGAGCGTGGAATCCCTTAATCTATGTTCGGGGAAATTTCCCCGAACGTAGATTAGAGGGATTCGCCTGCTCTGTTGCGTTCCTCTATGTTCAGGGACATTTCCCCGAACATAGAAGAACGCAGCAGAGCAGGTAATCCCTTAACTCCTCACTTACCGACCAATTCATTCTACGACCAGCTCGTAGGAACCGAACCCGGTCGGTAAGTTAGGGGTGTCTGTATCGGGAAAGCAGCACTTTTAAAAATGTAAAATGATTTTCATCAAGGTTTTATATGTCTTCAGAATGTGATACAGCATGTTTAGCCAAAATCCCATTTGTGTAGTATGCTTACAATAGAAATGCAGACAATCGAAAATGAATGAAAGTGAGCCTCCCTTTAATACAGTGAGGGGTTTATTCGCTAAATCCAGAATTGCAGTAAATTAGAAAACAAGGTTATTCACTAAAGTGAGAATTGCTGGGAATTCAAAGTGAATTTAAAATTTAAGGCCAAAATAAGCAAACTGGAAGCGGAGCTGACTTGGAGAACTTTTCCTGTTTGGCTACTTTGGTCTTAAATTTTAAATTCACTTTGAATTGCCAGAAATTCTTATTTTGTAAATAACCCTGCAAATTTGATCATTTAGGCAGAAGTAGCCAAGCCATGACTATAGCTGAGTTGGAGAATTTATTCCAAATCAGCTATTGTTGCATAAATGTTGCCATTTGGGATTGCAATCCACTACAATCTGGAGTTTTAGTGAGTAAACCGCCAATAGCGTTATTCACCAAAGTGTGAATTGCCACAATGTCAAAGTGAATTTCCAAACTTTGCTTTTGCAGGCGAGAAACCTCACAAGTGCCAGGTTTGTGGAAAAGCCTTCAGCCAAAGCTCCAATCTCATCACGCACAGCCGCAAGCACACAGGCTTCAAACCCTTTACCTGTGATCGTTGCGGGAAAGGTTTTCAGCGAAAAGTGGATTTGCGCAGACACAAAGAGAATCAGCACGGAATTAAATGAGTTCAAATTTCCTTCGGATTTGCCAAATCTGTTCTGTTTCTAGGATGTCTCCTCTATAAGTTAACATTCCAAAAAGTCAAAATGCTCCATTTTGGGCCATGGGAGTGGCCGTTTTTATTCAGCCTGTCACCTAAACGTCTATACGTGGCACAATTTAGCTGCGTCTGTGTTCAGCTTCTTGAACAGTAAAGTGATTTGCATGCTCTTGTCATCTTCTTTACCATCCTATAATCCTTCCAATATGTACATAAATATGTATCTCAATATGGCGGGTTTGGTATATATAAAATTTATAGTTACACTATTTCCAACACTATTATATAGAAAATGTCATATATTTGGCACAGCACGTAGAACAGTACTTATAAAGTTTTCTGTTTACCTGTAAGTGGTTTTATTTGAAAAAAATTGTTAAATTACAAATAGGATAGAATTGTGAACGAAATCTTATCCCTGGAAAATGTGTACTATTTTACAGTTGCTAACACTGTTGTATTTAGCACTGCTGTGTTCTCTTTGCAACTTCTGGCAATCTCTGTTTCTGGAGTTACATCACCGATGTTTTGTCACACTATCTTTCAAGCTGAAGATGCTACAAGATTTAAGCTGGACCTTCCTGTGAATGAATGCTGTACCTTCCACAAGTTGTAAAAATGTTAATCTCCTTACTGCCAAGTGTTTTTCATTAAAAACGTGTAATATTTATTATAAATATGAGATAAATAAAAATACATGATAAAACAGATTTTGTGTTTAGATTGAATTTCTGGGATACCTAAAACTGACACTAACAAACGCACACTAACACACACGTACACTATTTTACATGCACAGACACACACGCTCAAAAACACACACGAACATAGATGCACACTCACATACTGTACATAAACACACATACAGTGCACACACAAAAACACAAACAGGAACCCAGCCAAAACACACACATATACACATACATACACACACACACACACACACACACCTGTGTCATGTACTTCCCTTGTCGCACACTCTTCAGCATTTGAATAATTATATTTGCAGGAAATGCAGTTTTTTTAATATCACATATTTTCCTGATACATGACATGTTGTTCTCGGTGGAAAGAGGATAATGATCCAGGAGCCTAGTTTGCATACGTTATATGAATGGGTTCTTTGTCTCCATTCAGCTCAATCTCATTTTCATTTACATTTAGGATTCAGATGAGATTCTTCCTTTTGTGAACAGACTAATTATATGTTCCTCTTAACCCTTTATAATGTTGATCACGGCATTCTGTTACCTGAAGATTTCCAATATGGCCCTAGAAGGGTTCTTTAAGGCAATTTGGCTAAGTGTAAGGCAGGCTGAGTATCATGTGAGCAGCTGTAATCCAGAAATATCTGGGGTTCCAAGATTGGCAATCGCCATGGTGTCAGGGACATGTTTGTATTCAGGATGGGGACAGGGGCATGGGTGTATCCAGGTTCATAAACAGCTGTTCTGATGACATAATGTCGGTGCTGATGTTGATTGAGGCCATTGGAAAGTCACTATGTAATCCTGGTTGGGCACTTGCATAGCCAAAAGGCTCAATTTCAGACAATATGTTCACCAATCAATATCTACACAATTGGGAAAGGGACATGCATATCGATACCGTATTGCCTGCGTTAGCAGTCTATATCCAAATGCTAACTAGTATCAGTTTCCCAACCAATTGCTGTATTTTTGCCTTCGTCATTAACACTGAGCTGCATTTATTCCCAGCCTTTCACAGTGACCAAGATTAGTTTTGTAACCTACCAACTTTGCATTCCTTAAACTATAGAATCCCTTTAATTGTACACTATAGTGACCTCCGGTAGCATCATTGAGCATCATTTTATGTTGCAGTTCATTGAATAAATCCCTAGGAGCAAAAATGCAACATTAAAATCGGAATTTAATTGACATTATACCAGATGATAATTTATAAGTAACTAGATTTGCAGAAGAGTTTATTTATACAGTGCCAACATATTCTGAAGTGCAGTACAGTAGGCAAACAAAAAAATACTAAGTTCAAATAAAACATAATTGACATACTGCAACAGCAGGTGAAGTGGGTCCTGTCCAAACAAGCTCAAAATCTAAGACCTTGGTACTATTACATAAATATTACAATTTCTTTTTACATTTTTTTTTTAATTCTTTATTTTTGCAGTGCAGATAGGTACAGATAAGCAAATATTGCCAAGATAGCATTGACATTCATGAAGTTTCAAACAAGTAATTGCTGTGACATGGCATGTGAATAATTAGCAAAATTATTTTTAAAAGAGAAAACATGCGGAATCCGAAAGCAAGAGTACAATGCAGATGCAGAATGAGTTTGTTCTGGATAAACCTTGAAAGGGGCTCAGAGTGATGAGAAAACAATTGTAACTGAATAAACTTGCTAGCTTATGTGTCAAAGATTAGATCCACTGAAACTAAGCACTTTTCTATGTTGCTGCACCACTGTATGAGTACTAATAGAGCAGATAGGGTATCAGCAGCGATAATAGTTCCAGGCAAAAGTCACCATCATCCTATGCGCATTGCTGGGAGGCAGCTGGAACCAGCAGGAAGATACGGTAGATGTGGCATTAAGATAGAGAGCCCAGCCGGCACGTGGCAGATCAGGACTTGCCTCCAGTCCCAGGACTGTGTGACGGCCCTTAGTTTTAGTGCACGCATTTGGGAGCCCCTTGGGATCAGCTCCTTCCTCTGTCTGGGGTGCGCAGAAGGTCGAGGTGGTTGGCGCCTTTTATGGCAGGCGATCCTCTTGGGTGATAGATTATGGATGCTATGCCTCGGCGGGCTCTCTGCCTAGGTAGGCGGACTGTAGAGTGCAGAGGTGCTTGTGCGGCATGAAGGCCTGGAGGGGTCCCTCTCCGTCTCAGCAGCGCTCCTGCCTGCGATACCTCCAATTGTCCAGATTGGGTAGTTTGTGCACGATTCTGGAGCTTCAGCCAGAAGTCCTGGAATAGTACATCCAGTCTCCGCAGGATAGACTCCAATGAGTCATAGTGTGGCTTGTGGGCCAGAAGCATGCTCCACTGAATGGGCGATATGACAACAGCCATCTTTGATTCTTGTTTTGGGCAGTTTGCCCCCAATGCAGGTTGTGGTGACGGCTTGTGCCGTGTGTGACAGTCCAGTGGGGACTGGGATATCCAGGAGGGGGGTAGGAGGTCAGCGAATTATACCGCCAGCAGCAGGCTGCAGCGGTGCACCCGGCGCTCTCGGGAGAGTAGATGTCAGAGTGAGGGCTCATTTTGTTCCTCAGTGCACTCCTGAGCTATGTAGGGCACTGTGGTGCTAGTGGCTTGTTTGTGACCAGAGGTAAGCCCCAGAATACAGCAAGGAGTGCAGAAGCCTCTGCACAATGCGTCTCGCTGGTTCGGTGGTCAAGCTCCGCCCACCCCATAAATATTACCATCTTAAAACAATATTATATAATGTTAGGCAATCTATTGGAGAATTTTAAAACTGTGAAAAAAGTATAGTTATTTCTCAGTATAGATATTTCCCACATTTACCTACCAACAGTTCAAATGGACAGAGGAACACTTTAATTTTAGGGGTGTGAGTGGGGCGGGGCTGTTCTGAGAAATTTTAGGTGACTACTAATAACAATTTATTCAACTAAAGTGTAATTTAGAACAAGAGCAATGTATCTTATTTACACAGACTGATTTCTAAACACATTTATTGTAGTTTAAAGACACATTACTGTATTATTGCTGTGGAGCTCAGTTATGCACTTAGACACACCAACAATATAGAGCTCCTAGCAAAGGGACATTAAGATAGAAAAGAGGGATAGAGGGAGGGATTAGGGCCAAAATAGGGACTGTCCATGTTAAGTAGGGACACTCGGGAGATATGCAGTCTGAGCGAAATAAATATTTAGCGAATGTCTATATCAGAGGACTCAAGATTTCAGCTGCAAATGTCAGATTTGCATACTCAAATTCTTCTTTAAAGGGACACTGTAGGCACCCAGACCACTTCTACCCATTGGAGTGGTCTGGGTGCCAACTCCCACTACTCTTAACCCTGCAAGTGTAATTATTGCAGTTTTTTAGAAACTGCAATAATTACCTACTAGACAGCCACTAGAGGGCACTTCCTGGATTATAGCACAGAAATCCTGTGCTAGAGCGTCGCTGGACGTCCTCACGTTGTGTGAGGACCTCCAGCGTCGCTCAATTCCCCATAGGAAAGCATTGAAAAACATTTTCAATGCTTTCCTATGGAGAGCTCTAATGCGCATGCCCACCAGCAACATGGGGTGGAAGGAGGGAGGGGGAGGGGACCTGCAGTGCCAAGAAAACGGATTGTTTTCCTGACACTGGAGTTTCCCTTTAATAAAGCTGTGTATTTATTATATTACAAGGTAGATAATTAGCTGCATCCACTAATCAGAGATTATCTCACTTTCCCTAATTATGCAAATGATGGCAGGCCATAAAGGACAAGTATCACACAGTGGCGGATCCAGAGCCTGATCTCGGGAGGGGCACTTGTAGATTATTTAAAGAAATAATCCAGACACAATAACTACTACAGCTCAGTGTAGTGGTTATGGTGTCAATAGTGCCGGGACCCCCTCCTAGAGTAAGTAGTCAAACCGTTTAAGAACAGTTTGACAATTTACCTGAGGTCTGCTGGGAAATGGGGCGGCAGTAGGGCATAGGAGCAGTGGTGTGTGTGAGTGGTGCAATGTGTAAGGGGTGCAGTGTGTGTGAGGGGGACAGTGTGTGAGCAGTGTGTGTGTGTGAAGGTTGTAGTGTGTGAGTAGGGGGGGCAGTGTATGTCAGGGATGCAATGTATGTGTGGGACAGTATGTGTGTGTAACAGTTGCAGTGTGTGTGTGAATGTGGGCAATGTGTGTGTAACAGTTGCAGTGTGTGTGTGTGAGTGTGGGCAATGTGTGTGTGTATGGGGCGGCAGTGTATGGGGGCAGTGTGTGTGTATGAGGGGCAGTATGTGTGTATGAGGGGCAGTATGTGTGTATGAGGGGCAGTATGTGTGTATGAGGGGCAGTATGTGTGTATTGGGGGGTGGGCAGTATGTGTATGGGGGGCAGCATGGGGCAGTATGTGTGTATGGGGGCAGTATGTGTGTGCTGGGGCAAGTTACGGGGGGCAGTATGTGTGTATGGGGGCAGTATGTGTGTATGGGGCATAGGGGCAGTATGTGTATTGGGGTGTATGTATGGGGGGCAGCATTAAAGGGTATGTGTGTATGGGGGTAGCATGTGTATGGGGGGCAGTATGTGTGTATGGGGGGGGGACAGCATGGGGGGGCAGTATGTGTGTTGGGGCAGTATGTGTATGGGCAGTAGCGTGTGTATGGGGGCAGGTCTGTGTATGGGGCAGTATGTGCATGGGGGCAGTATGTGTGTATGGGGGGGCAGCATGGGGGCTGTGTGTGTGTGTGTGTGTATGTTAAGGGTAGGGGGGGCTTTTTTTTAATAATATATATCTTTATTTAATTTAAAAAAAAATCCTATGTCCCCCCTCCCTTCTTACCTTTACTGGGGAGGAGGGGGGACATATTTTCATCCCTGGTGGTCCCAGTGGTGATTCCCTGGTGGTCCAGTGTGGAGAGTGAACTCTAGCCTGCGCTCCCGGGCTAGAGTTCACTCTCGCGAGATTTGGAGCGTTGCCGCGCTTCAAATCTCACGAGAGGAGGACCCGGAGGAGCTGCAGACTGAGCTCCCGGGTCCTCTCTCACTCCCTCTCCCTTCCCCGCCGGCTGTCAGCACAGTGCCTGCGGACCGGGGAGGGAGATCTGTGATCTTCCTCTCCGGTCCGCAGGCACATTGCAGGGCTAGCACCTCCATGTCCTGGCAGGGGAGGGAGACCGGCGGATTTCTCGGGGGGGGCAATTGCCCCGTTGCCCCCCCCCTGGATCCGCCAGTGGTATCACACTGACCTTTGCATAACCATACACAATTTAAGATTAGTAACCAGATATATGAAAATTGTACTGATTGTCAGGGCCGTCTGTAACATTGATTGGACCCTGGGCAAGCATTTGTTTGGGACCCTGGATCCTGCCCTACCCTCCACCCCAACACAGTGGCAGAATTAACGTAGACAGGGCCCTGGTGCAAGACATTGTTTTGAGCCTCACCTCTATCACAAGAGCAGAGAAAAGATAGATCCTCATCTGTTGTACAATTCCCACGATGCTATGCCAGCTGGGGATCTATCATTTGGCCATTCTTGCAGGGCTGTATTTGTGAGCAGTGTTTGTGCATTTGAATGTGAGCATGTTGTTGTATACAGTATGTGTGTGCATGTAGGGTGTAGTATTGGTGTTTAAGTCAGATATACACACAGTCACACAGTCAGATATACACAGACACAGTCAGATATACACAGACACACAGTCAGATACACACACACACACACAGTCAGATACACAGTCACACAGTCAGATATACACAGACACACAGTCAGATACACACACACACACAGTCAGACATACACACACACAGTCAGATACACACACAGTCAGACACACACACACAGTTAGATACACACACACAGTCAGATATACACACACACTTAGATACACACACACCGTCAGATACACACACACACAGTCAGATACACACACACAGTCAGATACACACACACACAGTCAGATATATATACACACACACACTGTCAGATACACACACACAGTCAGATATACACACAGTCAGATACACAGTCAGATATACATACACACACAGTTAAATACATACATAGTCAGATGCACACACACACACACACACACACACACAGTCAAATATACACACACACACACACACAGTCAGACATATACACACAGTCAGATACACACACTGTCAGATACACACACTGACACAAACACACACACACACACAGTCATATCAATTTACATAGTTTAGCCACCCTCCTTACCTTTACAGAAGTGTGGCTTCCCTGGAGTCCAGTGGGAGCTGGATGTCTGAGATTGATGGGAGTTTTCTTGGTCTGTACCCCCTCCTTCTCTCCATGTATGCCTCCTCCTCCCCAGCGGCACTCTGTTAATTGGGAGGAAGTGACCTCACAACAGGCAGGAAGACAGAGGCCCGGTCTGGAGCTCTTACATCACCTGCTGCAGCCTACCGGAATATTTCTCAGTATCCCGGTGGGCTGTTCAGACTTGGTTGCAGGCAGGGGGCTCACCACGAGGCAGCTGCTGTGGGCCCCCCAGGAGCAACTGGGCCTGGGGCAACTGCCCCGTTTGCCCCTTGTTAAAGACGGCCCTGCTGATTGTACTGAATGCCTATGTTATACATACAAAGACCTGTGTTGGACTCATTCATTTTTTCGTAAGCAATAATAAAGACATATTAAGTACAGCCCCTTTTTTGCTCTAAATATTTTTTTCAAGTTTCCATGTTAATTTAAAGCACCTTCTGGAATGCAAAGAAAACATTAATATTAATTAACTGCTAAAAGGTGTGGTATCACTATTTCTTTAAAATAAATCTAAATTCCAAGGATGGATGTCATAACATGCACGTTAGGACAGTATATCTATGGTAAGGAACCAAACTGAACTGGATTACAACTTCCATCAAGCACAGCGAGACAAAAGGTGACAAGCGACAACTATTCCACTACTGTATGTAAACCAACTTAACTCAAGGGGTGCCTGACTATAAGCTAACATTATCACATTTACTTAGATTTCTCATGACAGGTGTATAGTCGCCATTTTGGGCAGTCGGAATCCAGGACAATAACCCCATAACCTAACCCAATAACGCACGGACACTAAGGGATATGGGGAAATTTGTCCACAGCTTTATTAAGCAAACAATAATAATAACAATAATAATAATAATAATAACTTAACAAGTAAAACATGGGTCATTGCCCCCCATACTCCGCCCTCGCATCCTATTCCTTCCATTAACATATAAAGGGCAATGACCCCCATATAAATAAACATATATATATATATAACATACATCAACATTATTCCAATCGATGTAAAGTGCCAACCATCCATTAGCCACGGCAGGGGTATACCCGGATACCCCTACCCCACCAGGTTCTGAGCCACCGACAGGACTCGAAACCTATCAACCACCGATGACCACCACTTGTTTGTTTTCCATTCCGTTCATCCTGGGGAGCCTATTTCCTTTCCTTCAGCTCCCCATCCCGCCGCTGTGAAAAAACGGGACAAAACCACACATAACAAAACAGGGAGGGTGGGAGGGACAAACTTAACCAGGTAGGAAATTAGAATGACTTACCTAAAATGGCTGCCCATTTAAATAACCAAACCTACTTACCCATAACTCCACTCCCTTGCTTACTTCCTCCTAAGCCCGCCTCCTAACCCCTGTCAAGGCCTTTTTTCGCTTAGCTGCGCCTGGCTACATGGGGCTAAATGACAGGTGTATAGTCGCCATTTTGGGCAGTCGGAATCCAGGACAATAACCCCATAACCTAACCCAATAACGCACGGACACTAAGGGATATGGGGAAATTTGTCCACAGCTTTATTAAGCAAACAATAATAATAACAATAATAATAATAATAATAACTTAACAAGTAAAACATGGGTCATTGCCCCCCATACTCCGCCCTCGCATCCTATTCCTTCCATTAACATATAAAGGGCAATGACCCCCATATAAATAAACATATATATATATAATATACATCAACATTATTCCAATCGATGTAAAGTGCCAACCATCCATTAGCCACGGCAGGGGTATACCCGGATACCCCTACCCCACCAGGTTCTGAGCCACCGACAGGACTCGAAACCTATCAACCACCGATGACCACCACTTGTTTGTTTTCCATTCCGTTCATCCTGGGGAGCCTATTTCCTTTCCTTCAGCTCCCCATCCCGCCATAAGCTCAGACCTTGACCCCTTAAGCCGTCTGAGCTCCGCCACCCCGAAGAAATAGTGCCCGCTGCATACCAACCTGCCAACCCAAGTTTAGCAGATCCCAACCCACCTCCGAAAGATGAACCCCGTCCGAGCGGTAGTACCCCGGCAACCCCTCTTCCAACTCGCTGTGCCGTACCACCACGCCCCCCACCTTCCTAACAAAGCTTGCCATCAAGCTGTTCACTTTCTTCCTGCACTGATTGATAGCCACCGGATCCCGCGCGTGCCGCCACCGACGCCTTGGGGCAATCTCCGACCACACTAACATAACCCCCGGAAGCAGGTCCCTCAGTTTGTTGATGTCCTGCTTCATCCATTTTACCAACCGGCGTTGCGGCGTGAGGCCCAAGTCGTTACCCCCGGCATGAAGGACCACCATGTCCGGCGTTTTCCCGCCCGCAACCATCCTAAACATTGCCCCACAAACCTCCCCCCAGCAAAATCCCCGGTACCCAAACCATCGGACTGCCAACTGGTCCTTCGGAAAGCCCAACTGCTGGCCCCGCGTTCGAGCTGCGGCCCTCCTCTCGGCCCAGAAGACAAAAGAATGTCCCACAATCCAAGCAACCCGTCCTGGGGAGAAGAAGAAAACAAGCGTGAGGGAAAGGCAAAGGGAAACTCCCCCGTTCATGCCCGCCCCCGTACCTAAAATATACATATATATATATATATATATATATACCCACATATATGTACACACACTTTTTTTTAAATTTTTTTATTATTATCATTCCAATAAGCCCAACCGTACATATGAACGGAACCGCACCGACTCCCATCTCCCTATGCGCTTCACGACCTCATCTCCTAGTCCCAACCGTGCGGCCTCCGTGGCTGCCCCAATGCGAAAGGAGTGAGTACCAAAACGTCCGGCCGGAAGCCCCAACTTACCTAGTCCCGACCGAAAAACCTTCGTAAACTGGAATCGGGACAGGGAAGAACCATCCGCATGCACCAACAAAGAACCCCCTACCGCCGGCCTCCGGGCCATGTACTCCGCCACTGCAGCCACCGGGCACAATACTGCGCCCGGCAGGGCCCATAGTGTTACGTCCCGACCCACGCCGCGGACATCCGTTTTTGATTTACCCAGATGCACAACCACCTTACCCTCCAAAACACGAACCCCCGAGGCCTGCAAACCCCCGGGCACGACCCTACTGGCACTCACTAGCTCCCCCACGCGGAACGCCCCGAAAAATGCCAAGAGAAAGGCCGTTCTGAACAAAGAGACCTCGAACCCGTTGAAACAAATTTCCGGCAACAGACCCACCAGATCCCCCAACACCCGCACAGACACCGGGCGCCTAGAGTCACATGACCTGCGGCCCTTTCGATAACCCTTTAACGCCTGCCGAACTAGGAAGGTCTTGGTCAGATCCTCCTTCCCGCGCCACCGGAACCAGAACGCCATTGCAGCCATGGACCTGTCGACCACTGCCGGGGACGCCCCCTTTGCCAGCAATTGACAGGTGTAACACAGAAAGGCGTCCCGCAGCGCATCCCTCCTTCAATGCCCCTGGAGCCATCGTCCAAAATCGGGACCACTGAAAACGAGACAGAGCGTCAGCCACTTCGTTCAGGTACCCAGGGACATGACGCGTGCGAAAAACAACATTCCGTGACATACATATTAACACAAAGCGCCGCAGCAACCTAACCACCGGCTTAGAGGCAGCCGATTGATTATTCACCGCATGCACCACCGCCATGTTGTCCGAGAAAAAGACCACTTTCTGGTCCCGGAGCCCCTCGCCCCACAGTGCCATTGCAACGACCAACGGGAAGAATTCCAGGAAAGCCAGGTTGCGCATGACCGGGCTGGACCCCCATGTCTCCGGCCACCGCTCTGCACACCATCTCCCGCCAAAGTAGGCTCCGAAGCCCACACTACCCGACGCATCCGTGAAGAGCTCCAGCTCCGCCGCCGACTTACCTGCCTGCCGGAAAAACACTGTCCCGTTGAAATCCTGCAGGAAGGCATCCCAAACGCCCAAATCAGCCCTCATGGCTGCCGACACCCGTATGAAGTGGTGTGGGGATCGAACACCTGCCGTTGCAGCCACCAGGCTGCGGCTGAAAACCCTCCCCATAGGAATTACACGGCATGCAAAGTTCAGCATCCCGATCAACGACTGCAGTTGCCGCAGCGTAACCTTGCGCGCAACGGCCACCGCAGCCACTGCACCTCTTAGCCCCTCAAGCTTGTCCCGAGGCAGCCGGCATTCACCCAAGACCGAATCTATTTCCAACCCCAGGAAACTAAGGCACGTCGCCTCCGTCTTATCCGCTGCCAGCGGCACCCCGAAGTGGACCGCCACCCATTCCATGGTCCTAAGCAGTTGCTGGCACGCCGAGGAGGCAGCCGGCCCCACGCAAAGGAAATCGTCCAAGTAGTGCACCACGGAACGGCTCCCCGCCTCCACCCGCACCACCCATTCGAGAAAAGTACTAAATTTCTCGAAATAGGAGCATGAAATGGAACAGCCCATAGGGAGGCACAAGTCCACGAAATACTTCCCTTCGAAAAAACATCCCAGCAGGTGGTGACAGTCCGGGTGGACCGGCAGCAGCCGAAACGCTGCCTCAACATCCACTTTGGCCATAAGCGCCCCATGCCCGGCCCGTTTAACCAGCTCGACCGCCCGGTCGAATGATGCATACGAGACCGAGCACAAGTCCTTATCAATACCGTCATTCACCGACTCCCCTTTCGGGTAGGAGAGGTGGTGAATGAGCCGGAACTTCCCCGGCTCCTTCTTTGGCACCACCCCGAGAGGGGAAACCCGGAGGCCCTCCAATGGGGGTACCGTGAACGGGCCCGCCATCCGCCCTAGCTTAACCTCCTTGTCTAGTTTTTCCCGTACCACCCCCGGGAAATCCGCCACCGACTTCAGGTTGCGCAACCCCCCCGACCCCCCCCGCTCCCGGAAGGGGATAAAGAAACCGCGCCCAAAGCCCTCCCGGAGTACCAAGGCATCAGCCCTGTTACCGTAGCGGCTTAGCCACGGCTCCATCGCGTCTAGCCTCACCGGTGTGAAGCCCCGGGGCAGGGGAAGCACTCCCTCCGGCCCCGGCGGCCGCTCCGGCGGTTCCCGCCTTCCCTTTTTTGAAACAGCGATTGAGCCCATGAGCACCCCCTGCAACCGGAGCACTCGTGCTTAAATCGACACGCGTTTCCCCATTTGCACTGGCCCTCGTTGTAGAGCCAGCAGAAGCCCTTTTGTAAAGCGGCCGACGAGGCGGACTGCCCCTTCGCGCCGGCCGAATTCTGAAAGGGCTGCGCCTTCTGCGCCATCATTAGCTTCATCCAGAGAGGCAGATCCATCTGATCCCACCTCATACCTGGGTTAGCCACTAGTCGCTGCCTGAACTGCTCATGATACCGCCACCATGCCAGCCCCCCATAGGTGCGGTATGCTTCCCAAATGCCGTCCAAGTAGCAAAACAGGGACGAGCATAATCACTGCGATTTTTCACCGAGCACGCTGGCCAGCACGCAAAACGCCCTCAACCAGTTACCAAAGGATTTCGGAATCTTACGATACCGCTTCCTTTTCTCCTCCTCCTCCTTCTTCTCATCCTTCTTATCGTCCTCTTTGAGGTCAATAAAGTCCTCCAAGGGGAGCAGGGAGAAGATCTCGCAAAACTCACCTTTCCAGAGCTTCTCCTTCACGTCCTGTTTCAGATGAACCCCCAGGGGGCCCGCAAACGAGACGTACGCGTGCTGCCTCGCCGCGTCCGGAATACCCCCGGCCAGTTCCGCCCTGTCACTCCCGGCCGCTGTCGTCTCCAGGGCCACCCCAGCGTCCCCGCCCGAGCTGAGCCCCGTGGAAACCCCACTAGAACCAGGGACCTCAGTCCCCGGAGCCCAGACCCGACCAACGCCGCCCCCCATGTCACACCCCGCCCCCAGTGAGTGGAGCAGTGCTTGAAGTGTGCTAACTAAAGAGCTGGAGTGTAGTGACCCACAAGACTCACCGGCCAAGCCCCCCGATACCAGAGCGGCAGGGGCTGCGTCGTCGACTGCCCGATGTCCAGGGAGAGCGACTCCCGCCGATGCCTCGCCAACCGGGGAGCCAAACCGGTGCCTTGCCCGTGTCGATATGGAACGGCTCCGTGACCTGGAAAGAGGAGAAGAGGTCCTGGGTAGGGTGCACTGAGTACCTGCTTCCCCCCCGTCCCGACCCTGGGAGCGCCTGCCCATTGCCAAGGCCTCCCGCTGCGCCCCCCGCGCACGCTGCTCGCGGGAGCCCCTAGGGCTACGACTCCTCCTGTCCCCTCCTGGTAACCGTCCCCGCCGACCACCCCTGGGGACGCTAGCCCTGCCCTCCACTGAGCTACCTGACGTGGAGCGGCGCTGCAGGGACCTCCCCCTCCTCCCCTTGGGCTCTAAGTCCCGAACCGGAGAGAGACTACCGCTACTATACCCTGAACCAGACCCCCCCCTCCTACTACCCTGCACCCCCAAACGCTCACCCTCCAAGCGAGAGCCCAACCCCCCACCCGAGCTGGCTCCCAGACTAAGGGCACCCGGACCCCCCTCAACTAGACTGGCAGAAGAAGCCCCCCCAACCCCTAAACCAGGCCTACCCGATGTAATACTTATTTTGTAATATTTCTTTAATTGGAACTCAACTGCAGCATTTCTTGGTTGCAACAACAATAAGGTTCACCTCCTTTTATATTGGTATGAAACTATGGTCACTGTACCTTTAAATATCCATGTAGGTAAAATTAGGCTTTGTAGCAATCCCTTATGAGTAAGAGGAATAATTAGACAAAGTGACACTTTAGTGAGTTTTAGATACTGTGTAATATAAATAATAGTAATTGACTTGTTTGGTAAAAGTATTACTTAACTTAAAGGCAGTTCTGGCACTGGAAGGGTTAATTCACCCAATGAAGGAGAAATTAGAAGTCCGTTTCAACAAGCTGAGAACTAGGAGTGGAGAGTGGGGAAGTCCGTTTTAACAAGCCGAGGTCTGGGAGTGGAGAAGGTAGAATTCAGAGTTACAAGCCGAGGTCTAGGAGTGGAGAAGGTAGAAATCCGTTTACAAGCCGAGGTCGAGAAGTGGAGAAGGTAGAAATCCGTTTACTAGCCGAGGTATAGAAGTGGGGCAGGTAGGATCAGAAGTAGAGCAGCTGATCTTCATGCAGCACCTGTGCGAATAATTCAGCCCTTTGAATCTGGCGCGGTCCTCCTAAGTATCGTGGAGGGACCGCGTCAGAGAAAGGGGCGGGGCTGAGCGCCGTGAACCCGGAAGTGGGTTCCGGCGATAAATTACATGCCATGCTATACCTGACAGTACCCCCTTCCCACGGGGCATCCTCTGGGTGCACTATTTCGGTTTGGAGGGATAGCGTTTGTGAAAGGCAGTAACTAACCTCCTAGCATGTACATTAGATGAATCTTCCCAAGTGTCTTCATCAACTCCATAACCTTTCCATCTGATAAGGTATTGTAAAGAGCCACGGTGGACACGAGAATCCAAAATTTTGTGAATTTCATATTCTTCTTCACCTTGGACAATGATAGGTTCAGGAGTTGTTACTATTTCCCTATAAAAAGGATCAGGGATATGTGGTTTAAGTAAGGAGACATGGAATACTGGATGAAGTTTAAAACTTGGAGGAAGTTTTAGTTTAACAACGTTATCATTAATGATAGTAATTACTTGAAAGGGACCAAGAAAAAGAGAGCTCAATTTCTTTGAAGGACGGCTTGTGGTAATATTCCTTGAAGAGAGCCAGACAAGATCCCCAACCTTGTAAGGAGGGGGAATTCTTCTATTATTGTCAAAAAACTTTTTCTGGTTATTTTGGGCGAGTTGAAGATTCTCCCGTAATTTGAAAAATAGAGAAGACATAAATTCATTTTTTGATGTAACAGTAGGATTGGATGAAGTAATGGATTGGATGGGGAATGAAGACGGATGAAAACCATAGTTGGAGAAGAAAGGAGTCATTTTCGTACTAGAATGAATGGTATTATTGTAAGAAAATTCGGCCATAGGTAACCATGTGGTCCAGTCATCTTGGAGGTATGAACAATAACA